TCAACCATAGTTTCATTTGTATTGCCTGAAAAGATGGTTTCCTAAGTTGCATGTTTGGAGGTTATATTGGGCATGTCTCATTTTCATCTTGATTTTTCTTCAGCTATGCTCGCGGATAGTAAGTACAAAAGAAAAAGATGAGAGGTTACGCAAGTTGTTTGTTCACAAAGAGGCTAATGATTCGGCATCCCTACTTTTTGTGGATACTGCTGTTTACTCTCGAAACCGTTGCTTCCGTCTTGCATTATCATCAAAAGCTGGAAAGGCGTCGGTTCTCCTACCTACAGGAAGATTCAAATGTAAGGATATGGTAAGTCCACCTTCCTAACTCTGACTTCTTGTATTACTTAAGAACAGTTCATAGTAATTACAGTATCTAACAAAACCATTGGTAAACGAACAGAGCGAACAAGATGTATTCATGTCATCCTTAATCTGCAACGTGACATCAGACTGTGAGAAGCTTCTGGTTTGCAAAATGGAGTCAGACTGTATGAAGACACTTTGCTTTGACACAGAGGTAATTTCCATCAGTTTTGTCTTAAACAGTCACATACTTGTGCTTTTTGCTTCCATTTGCATCTTCTTGCCAACTTCAGGGAAGATTCCACAAATGTATATATGCCTTTAACCCGAACTCTTTGGAGATGGCAGGTGAACAATAACAGTATTGTAAGACACCAGAGAGTTCCTAAATTCCAAGTGGATGGTTGCACAAGTGACATGTCAACATCGTACTTCGGGGGAAAGTCCCCGTTCCCGCTCGTAGACCAATTCGTAGAATCCATTGCTTCCACCGGGAGTGTCTCAGGTTTCAATTTATCTTTGTGCAACGTCTTTGTTCTGGAGAGATTGTAATGCTTACTTTCTTATAAATATTCGGTTATATTTAGGTAAGATAAGGTGCTGGTACTGGTTTTCAGAAGCTAGCCTGATTGTGTACAGCATGTTAAGAAATAGATACTGCGAACGCATTGGCAGGGAACATAAAAGCAATCATGGTACAATCTGCATTTCATCCATTTCTGCTATGAGTTGCCGTTTTCTGCTAATTATCAGCTAACAAACTTTGTTGTTGTAGTGATGTACATTGTTGACATCAGAAGGGGAATCTATTATCAGAAATGCTACGATCCAGATTGTCGAGGTCTGTACTATTCTCAGAAGTTTTTCTTGAAAAAAAATTCTGAAAGCAGAATATTGTCCAACTAGATGATATCCCGCGCGCATGCGCAGGGTGAAATTTTTATACCAATATTTATTCATTAAATGGTTTTTAACATTTTGCAATACTACAGTATTTATCGATTATAAAATGATGAATACAAATGTTGGTATCTTAAATCATCACAGGTCTGGACGTTTGAGAGTTCTTCGGTTTTGGTTTGATTGAGACGTATTTTCAGATTTTGGTATTATTCTTATAAATCCTATTTGAATTTTACTAATTATCGGATTGGATTCGATTTGGTCTTCTCAATTCAGTTTAGATTGGATTGTAACCAATATCTGAAATCATCCCAAAAAATATTTTTTAAACATTAAAAGTTGACAAAAAAATTCAAAATATTTAAACTATTAATAAATCTAATTTAAAATTAGCTAAATTATCTAAACAAACTAAAAGATATTTTTAAAAAAAGCAAATAAAACAAACTACAAAAATCTTTCGAATACTATAATTTGTATGTACTAATCTCAAAGCTTTTCACTGAAATTTTTAAATTAACATATTTATAATATGAATATCTACTAATGATATTTCATATTCGTATGATTTATGATAATTTGTATCTTGTTTGAAAAAAACAAAGTTAAACCATTGATCATAAAATTTTCAATATGGGATTTTACTATTTTTAGTTATTTATGGTCGTTTTAAAAAATTAAAAATATAACCTATAATTTTTTTCTTATATATTTAATGTGATATGTTTAATTTATTTTAATAATTTAAAATTAAACAAAAAAGAGAGAGGACACAAAAATATGTATTATTCATAATCATTAATTACATATATATGTTAATCATATTAGGTAATTCCGTAGCTTTTATTTAAGGAAAGAAAATATATTGTTTTATACCTAGCATAGTTGGTCTCTTAAAAAATGTCTATATATTATAGTCCTAAATTCAAAAAATTAAATGTTACATTATTTCATTCCTAGCAAAGTTGGTCCATTAAAAAATTAAAGCTGAGAAGCTCTGTGAACTTGACACGTAAGCATGCTCTCCAAGGTTGTACATTTATGAATGCTTCAGGATTAATATATAAGGGATACCACTTCCGTTTTGTATTTTTCTCTTGCAGATTATAGATCTCCTATACGTCCAGTTCCAGATAGTTGCTTACCTGAAGATATAGTTTATCATCAAGGGGAGGCACAGAATGTATGTGATAACCTTTACCCTGAAGGAGAAAGTTACATTGATAATGAACGCGATCCAGATAGTGCTTCCAGCAGAGACTCGTGGTGGCTTGAAGCAGCTAAAATTGCAGATGATCTTGAAAGCAAACCCAAGACACTGGAACCTCATACCTTGGTTAGTTTACTTTACCGGTTTTCATACAAGGAACAACGAGTGTCATGATCTTGACTTGACACAAGATCTGCCTATTTTCTCGAGTTTAATAAAAGAATAATCTCTTGAGTTGGCGCACACAGGAAAATTTCGAGGAAGATGATGACTGGTGGATGGCTGTAGAAGAGTCTCTACAAGGAATCTCATCTTTAAATCATTCCCCAAAATGCCCTTTGATTTAGAAATTTGTGACTCACCCAACAAAGTCAAGACCAATCTGGGTTCTGTCTTCTTCCCTTCTCTCTATAAAACAAACCATCGTATCCTCCAAAACCTTAACTCAACAGATCTCATAGAAAATAACTAATGGCTTCACTTCCAGTTTTCATTCCGGCCAAGTTGTTTCCTTTGATCCTCTCACATGAAACCTTGATCAATCACTTTCAGACCAATCTCCCCAGACATTCCTCAACAATCACAAGCCCTGTCCGCCAAAACCACAGCGTTTCACCAACTTCTTCTCTCCTGCTCATGCCTTCTTGGTCATCTTCTCCATCTCTCCCTTACATGGGCGTCAAGCTCGTCACCTATTTCCCACAGAACTCCTCTCAGAACTTACCAGGCATCCATGGATCCTACACACTCTTCAGCTCCACCACAGGACAAACCTTAGCTTCAATGGACGGTACCGTTTTAACCCTTTACCGTACTTCCTCTGTTTCAGGCTTAGGCTCCAAAATTTTAGCTAGAGACGATAGTCAGGTGCTGATCATGGTTGGTTCCGGTGCTCTCGCACCACATCTGATCAAATCCCATCTTGCTGCGAAACCAAGCTTAAGAAGAGTGATCATATGGAACAGAACTCCCCAAAAGGCTCAGGATCTAGCTGAAACTCTCTCTAAGGAATCTCAACACAGCGAGATCTCATTCGAGAGCCACCATTCGTTAGATGAGATCATTCCTCTTGGAGATATCATAAGCTGTGCAACAAACTCAACAGTTCCATTGGTCAAAGGCGAGTTCTTGAAACCCGGAACACATCTTGACCTTGTCGGGTCGTTTAGCCATGAAATGAAGGAGTGTGACGACGAAGCGATCAAGAGAGGGAGTGTGTTTGTGGATAACGACATTGCATTGATAGAAGCAGGAGAGCTGGTGGGAGCGTTTGAGAGAGGAGTGATTACGAGAGAAGAGATTTGTGGGAACTTGGTTGAGTTGATAAATGGAGACAGAGAAGGGAGAAAGAGTTCGAGTGAAATAACGGTGTTCAAGTCTGTTGGTTCGGGTACTGTAGATCTCTTAACTGCACAACTTGTTCATGAGACTTATCTCAGTAGTTCTTTAAGTAATATGTAACGTTGTCTTGTAAACGAAATAAGGTATTGATATGGGTGTGTCAGTGATGCATTTGGCGTTATCCATTTGTTAAATAAAACGCAGTTTTGCTGTCAAACTTTGGATGTGTTGAATTCTGGTGAATGAAGAGGAATTGTTGCCAAAATGAGCTCAGCTCAAGTCTTGTCCACTGCAAATACATAGAAATGTCAGACCGGTTTAAGAGGAGCTGGTTTGGTTTGAAATGTTGATATTCTGAAAGAGAGATAGAGATATAATTCAGCTATCCATTAACTTTAACAATAAACACCATATACTGAAGAAGTCTGTATTTGTTATATAAATACAACAAAGCTGAAAAGATAAGGCGAGTGCGATACATTCTTAATAAAATAAATAACCATAATCTTTAAAATGAACAAATACAAAAATCTGATTTTTTATTGTGATGAGATCACAGCAGTAGCTGAACCAGAGTTCAATCAAACTGAGCTTAGATAAGATATTACTTATGTTATGAAGTAAGTTGCTTTCTTAAAATGAAATGGTGCTATGATATGCATTTTAGGAATGGTTACTTATCTTCTTATGTCACATCACATTCTAGTTTCAAGGCTCTTGCATGAGGTAAGTATAGATCTCAGTGAATTGAAGAAAGGAAAGCAATTTTTCAGGTACCTGTGTGCTGCGCATAAGCATGATAAGCTGGTGCTGGCTCTTAATTCTACTGGCAATATATTCCTGCCTCTTTACTTGTATTTCCGATTAAATAGCTATCGTTCTTTGTCGTACACGTGAATGTGCCAGTTGGATCCAAAAACTTTGATGCAAACGTATTTGTTTACAATTATAAAAGTTATTAATAGTAAACAAAGATGCCGTCTTAGCTCAGTGGTAGAGCGCGTGACTTTTAATCCCGTGGCCGTGGGTTCGATCCCCACAGACGGCGAAATTCCGATTTTTTTTTTTTTTTTCTTTTTGCGAAAAATGACCATTGTTGTGGTTTTTGGCTAAAACCCTAAAAGCTACGGGTCAAGATTAAAAAGAAAATAAAAACTAATTGTCTCCCCCTCTTTTCTCACGAAACGGCCAACACGAAGTTGGAGTTCTCTCGCCAAGCTCCATCGTCGTCGTGATGAACATGGAGACGAGCCAAGCAGGGATGGGGAACACGGTGATGTGTCTGTTAACAGACCCAGAAGGAACTAACTTAGGTTCTGCCATGTATATTCCTCAAACCGCTGGTCCTTTACAGCTCACTCAGCTCGTCAACAGGTTCCTCAACAACGTAAACCAAAAACTTTCCCTATCTAAAAGTTCGTTTAAAGAAATTACCCAACATGAATTATGTATTAAATTTTTGGAATTTTTGAGAATTGGTTTCCAGGAGGAGATGTTGCCTTACAGTTTCTATGTATCGGACGAAGAGCTTCTTGTACCTGTAGGAACTTACTTGGAGAAGAACAATGGTAAAACCATTTTATCTGCTTTTGGTTTGTTGTGTCCTCTTATGTCTCTGTGAAAATCTTATAAATGTTCTTACAACATTTGTGTGTTTTAACAGTGTCTGTGGAGAAAGTTTTGACGATAGTTTATCAACAACAAGCTGTGTTCCGAATTCGTCCTGTTAACCGTTGCTCACAGACAATTGCTGGTATCTCATTATTGTTCTGTTCTTTTACATTGTTGTTCTCTTACAGTTGCTTACTTGTGGTTTGTTTTAACTCTTAGGTCACGCGGAGGCTGTTCTTTGTGTTTCGTTTAGTCCTGACGGTAAGCAGTTAGCAAGTGGCTCAGGGGATACTACTGTCCGGCTTTGGGATCTCAACACTGAGACTCCATTGTTTACTTGCAAAGGTTAACACATTTTCCTCACAAGCATATCCTTAGATGCCTGATAATAGCTCATCCTGATGATGACATTTAATCATTTTCAGGACATAGGAACTGGGTACTCTCAATTGCTTGGTCTCCAGATGGTAAGCATCTTGTGAGTGGTAGTAAATCAGGTGAAATCTGTTGTTGGAATCCAAAGAAGGGAGAGCTAGACGGCAATCCACTTACAGTAAAATTTCTTGATACTTACTTTGATGTTGTTTTACTTGTGGAATTTACATATATATGTTCACTGATTACCTTTTTATCTTTACATTGTTTCCTTAGGGTCACAAGAAATGGATTACTGGTATCTCGTGGGAACCAGTCCATCTTAGTTCTCCATGCCGTCGATTTGTAACTTCTAGCAAAGATGGAGATGCAAGGATTTGGGATGTTACACTGAAGAAAACTTTGATTTGTCTGAGTGGCCACACACTTGCGGTGACTTGCGTCAAATGGGGTGGAGACGGAATTATTTATACAGGGTATGTTTCTGATATGTGAAAATGTGTATTATCTACTTTCATAGGTCTGGTGTCTAATGTGTGTTGACAGGTATTTCAATGTATCTTATAGATAATACCTTAGTTGATTTAAGTGGTTATAATGGGTGAATCTCTGATCTGCTAGTCACATAATGAAAAGTAAACTTAATTTGCATTGTCTTTATCATAGTTAATGACTTTTTACTTGCATCCATGTTTAAGCTCTATGATCACTTTTTCGCTACATAATTTTATCTTTTTCTCTGGCAGTTCCCAAGATTGTACCATAAAGATGTGGGAAACTACTCAGGGGAAGCTCATTCGTGAGCTGAAGGTAAAATTTTAGCTATATTTGGAATTAGTTCTGCTCATTGTTCTTCTGCATCAGTAGCCGATGCGTTCCTCTTCTTCTGATTACTTCAGGGGCATGGGCATTGGGTTAACTCCCTTGCATTGAGCACAGAATATGTTCTTCGAACAGGAGCTTTTGACCACACTGGAAGGCAATATCCTCCAAATGAAGAAATGAAAAAGGTAAACTTCCTACTCCACTCCACATTTAAGATCAGTTTCTTTATTTTCCACCATGATTCTTATCTCTCTCTCTCTCTTTGGCAAATTTTCTGGCTTTTCTTTGTGTTATAGGCGTTAGAAAGATACAACCAAACAAAAGGGGATTCCCCTGAAAGATTAGTCTCAGGTTCTGATGATTTCACTATGTTCCTTTGGGAACCATCTGTTAGCAAGCAACCTAAAAAGCGCTTGACCGGTCATCAACAGGTAAAACATTACTTTACAGTTTCACTCTTTTCATCTAGTTTTGTTACTTCTGTTTCTAATTCTCCACCTTTGATATTTGTTCAAAATCAACAGCTTGTAAATCATGTCTATTTCTCACCTGATGGGAAATGGATTGCAAGTGCTTCATTCGATATATCAGTTAGGTTATGGAACGGTGTCACAGGACAATTTGTTACAGCTTTCCGGGGCCATGTTGGGCCTGTTTATCAGGTCAGTTGGTCTGCTGACAGTAGATTGCTTTTAAGTGGCAGTAAAGACTCTACTCTCAAGGTAATAACTTACTTTCGTATGTATCAAAAGCCATTTTTAGGCTTTACTGTAAGATTCTGAATCAGAAATTTTGTTACTTCCCACACAGATTTGGGAAATTAGGACAAAAACGTTGAAACAAGATCTTCCTGGTCATGCAGATGAGGTACTTACCAACACCTTCAAAACTAAACTTCTTACCAGAATTTCAATTTTCTCTTAATTTTCTGACCTTTTGTGGATAGGTTTTTGCTGTGGACTGGAGTCCAGACGGTGAGAAAGTAGTCTCTGGTGGTAAAGATAAAGTTTTGAAGCTTTGGAAGGGTTAAAAGGAAAGACCATTATGGAGCTTATGTTATTTAAACCAATCATATACAATTTATTATTTAGATATTTAAGTTCGTTAATTTGTTTGGTTTCTCTATTGAAAGATCAGTTTTTGTATCATCCATACTTTTTGTTGGCTTTTTGATCTAATCCTTAATATGACCAATTTTCTTCACCTTGTTATTGTTGTGAAGCATTACATCTAGGCGGGGGTGTTTCGAGTATAGATTCGGTTCGAGTATTTCGGATTTCGAATAGTTTAGGGAGAAGGTTAGATGATCTATTTACTATTTAACCAATTTTCGGTTCAGTTCGGATAGTAAAACTAGGAACCAAAAATACCAGAAAAATTTACTTCTCATTTGGTTCGGGTAGTTCGGGTAAATTATCAGTTATTTAGGATAAAATACCAAATAATTAGAACCATTTAGATACGAATTTCAGATATTTCGGATTACTTTGGATATTTCAGATAAAATTATCCGTATACTTTTGGGTAATTCAGATACTTATAACTATTTTTGGATATTCTTAATAGATTTTTAAATTAAAACCATATGTTAGTTATGTTATATATATATATGTATATATAATTATTATTATTATATATTTGGGTACCTGTTCGGTTCTCGGTTTGGTTTGGTTATTTTAGATATATAAATATAAGAACCATTAGGATATTTGAGGGTTTTGGTTCGATTCCAGGCCTAATTACGTCTTCTCAATTAAAAGAAAAGTACAGTTTTTATTTACCATGAAGAAGTCTTAAAAGATTCATATCATTAATATAACTAGATCGTCTTCCGCGTTACGCGCGGATAATTGCTCTATATATTTTACAATTATTTGTACACAAAATATCCACTCCTACAATGCATCCAGCAATTCTTATACCAAACTTTTAGGTGTTTAATGAAAATTTAGTTTTCAAATATGATATATAGTCAACTTAGTTGTTGTATGTATATTTGTAAGTCAAATGAAATCTACACCATATATATGGTAAATAGTGGTGAATCTTGCCTTTTTCTTTTCACTTCTTCCTTTGCATTTTTAAATTCGACCCTTAGTTCTAACTTATGAACTTATTCAAGTTATGTTTAATGTCGATTTTATGTTTTAATCGGATTAAACCATTTAAAACATATTTGTACAAAAAATTATTATGTTAATTAAATGTGATTAGTTTAATTTGAAAAAAAAATATTTGTGTGAAAAATATTAGTCTAGAAAGATAATTAATGAGGTAAAAATTGCATGTATTGAGTGTTTGTGCGAATAGTTGAAAAAGATAATTGATGTCTTCGTTTCGGCTCTATATAACTTTATAAAGACAAAACTAAATTGTATAGATGGACATGCTGAGAAGCCAAAATTTCGAAGCTAAAAATATTCAAATAATGTAAAAAACTAATGATAAAAAACAAAATACATATCTAGAATTTTGTCGCAGACTATGCATAATTAGTTATATAAATCAATCACTATTTGAGTAGTTTCTGTATGAAATAGAATCAACTCAGGAAACATCACACAATGTCTCGAAATATTTTCTGAAATTAAAAATCTTAACCAAAATACTTTACGAAGATGTTATGTTCAAACTGTAATCAAAGTTTACATAAAATATTAGTTACATTAGCCTTCTGTCAAAAAAAAATATTAGTTAAGAGAAGACGATGGATGCGCATAAGAGAACTGTCAAACAAAGGTTTCTATGAAGTGGTACATACTGCAAGTTCATATCTGAATGAAGTTGCCAATGTCACCACTCACCAGCAAGTGCAACTGACCATTTTCACTTCATCACACTTGAGCTCTTATGAGCCACCTAAAGGAAAGAAGAAAAAGAAAACAATTTCTTTTTGCAGTTAAAAATAATTATTTTCTTTTGAAACGTGAAAATGTATGGGGAAAAAGCCTTTTGAAAGATGAAAAGGCACAGAGGAAGCAATGTGTCTTTGAAGTGAAGATTTGAAGAAAGAACAATGAGCTTTAATTCCTCACAGTAATGAAATAGTTTTAGGATAGATTTAACTATCTAGATATTTTTCAGGTTTATATTTGTGATTCATCTGAAAAATGTGTACACACACACACTGATTAAAGTCGAAGCAAAGAGTTATAATGCGAGTTTTTCACATAAGAGCTAAAAATGAAAGTGTTTATTTTGTATGACCAATCAAGAAATATCATCTTAAAATAATACTATCTTCCATGGTCAATCAAGTTTAGTCATAAAATTCATGTACCTGTAAACTAAGAAGTAAACTAAAATAGTATCTTATTTTCTAATATAGTTACTGTTTTTTGATAAATGTTTGCTTATGATTGATAGTGAAAATAAAACCATGTGCAAGAGATCTCCATATGAGAGAGAGAGAGAGAGAGAGGGAGGGAGGGAGGGAGGGAGGGAGG